ACTCATATATCGAAAACAAACTGACAACGCCATGGCTAAAAATAAAAAGACAAACAGACAAATAATAGTACAGATGACACAACATAGAAAACTAAAGACTAAGTAACACGAACCCCACCAAAAACTGGGGTTGATCCTAGGTGCTCCGGAAGGGTAAGCAGATCCTACTCCACATGTGGCACCCGTCGTGTTGCTTATGTTATTACAAACCCGGTAAATAGTCTAATTCGGTAGGTCACATTCGTGAAAAGGGAAGGGTATTGTAGTTACGACATAAGGAACATATCCGATATCATCTGTGAAATGGTTATTCCATAACGGTCAACCAACTCGTGATGGCGTCCGTAAAATTTACGAAGGGGTGATTTCAACTTCACCATTTGGAACTCTTGGTTTAATAGCTTCCTTGTGAGCAGCAATCCTCTATCAAGGAAATCATGATAGGAAATACAAGCCCGGGAATATCGTATCAATTGGGAGATATATACTCCGTATGCAGGCGCTGCTGGAATGTTGCTACATAGAAATGGAAAGTTCACAATTGGGAAGCTGAAATCATCTCTTTTGTCGTAAAGTTTTGTTTTAAACCGACCCTCATTGTCAATTTCTAGATGTAAGTTAAGATATGAGGCAGACTTAACTGTATCTGTAGTATCCTTTATCTCTAGTTCGATGGGATAGATTCGTTCAACATAGTCACCAAATATTGTATTATTTAGTGAGAGAACATCATCTATATAGCGGAACGTAAAGTTAAAGGATATTGCTTACTTCTTATTTTTCTTCCTAAGAAGTTCCTGTATGAAGTCAGCCTCATAATGATAAAGAAACAAGTCGGCAAGAAGACGGGCACAATTGGTTCCCATTGGAATTCCGACAGTCTGTTGAAAAACACGTCCTACAAAAGACATTTCCAGGCATTTTTTTATATTCCTTGAAGTAAATTAACTTATAGTATTTTATCCATTTTATTGATAAAGAATATAAAGGGGTCACTGAATTAATTTTACTGAATAAATCATTAACGGAAATGTGTAAGGTAAGTAATATTGAACAACATAATATAATAAAATTTCGTTGCCAGAGGCGGATCCAGGATTTTGGAGTAATAATAGAATGTAGGGCCATATATATAAGTGTTCAGTGTATATGTATTTTCCATATATAGATATAAGAAGATTATATGCATATTTAGGACGAGAAGATGAATATGAACCAGACTTTGTATTATACCGCAGGAAGACATGTCATCCTATCCGGACACATGATCTTGACCCCGGACCGACCAATATTATCTCTAACTCCTAAATATTGCGTGTTTGGCAGAACGGCAGTTAATCTTCGATTTGAAACAGGCGAGGATCGAGCCCAGGACTTCCCGCACTCGAGCAGTGGTGTAGCTTTCATTGACACAATGAGGCAATCGCCACACCAATTTTTTTACCATTAAAAAAAAGAGATAAAGATAACTATATACCATGTACGTCATAGTATAAAGTATACTAAGTGACGACGGTTCAAAACGTTGACTGCTTACCTTTTACTCACTCATTCCTCATTATGTAAATTTTCTTTTATAAAATGAACAAGGTAGATGCAAATATCTTTTTTAAGTAACAGACAAAGTATCTTGCAAAAAACTGATTCAAACAAGAGGTCATAACTGTGAAACTGATATGACTGATATGCTTGATTACTTTTTGTTTTTGACAACGAACTTGTTACTTTTGGTGGACAAAGTTTTCAACTGACACTTGGCATTTCTACATTTTTTGTAGTACTCTTCTACCTTGGTTAATATAAGCAAGACTTCATAGTTCACCCAGGTATTACATACATTTTGACAAAAGCTAAACGGTAACAAGACATTTCGGCACCCAGACAAATCGGCACCCAGGTCCGAAGACATTTCGGCATCCGTTTTGGACATTTCGGGACCAGGACATTTCGGGACCAAGACAATTCGGCACCTCATTTTTTTTTCTATATATATATTTTAAAAGTTTTCCATTGACGTCTTTAAGCCAAGGTGAGGCTCTGACTGCTAAGATTCAAATCATTTGCCTCACCAGAAATAAAATTCAAGTTACGCTACTGTCGATTGATTGATAGTTGGTTGCTTAACGTCCAGTGGCAAATATTTCATGCATAATTAACGTCTAGAGAGCGTGGAATTCTCTCTACAAGAGGCATTGGATTTAACGTTCCCACTCTGACCGGACGGGACTGCTTCCTGTACATCCCGCACAACCAAACGGACTCCCCACTTTGGCAATGGTTTAACTGCCGATAGGAACAAGACCAATAGTGACCATATTTCTATTCCCCCGATCACCTTTGAGGGGTTACTGTCAAGGCGAGCGCGCGACCAAAAAGACAGTTATGAATATGGAAGATACATATACATGTACGTGTATTGATCAAAACATTTGCAACAAGAATGTGTGGCCTTAAGACACCGTACCCCTTCACATGATCATATTTCCATGTTCAGTGCACCACTTTATCCGGGTCAAACTCTAATTTGGTATTATTTTTGAACGTTTTATCTTTTGAACAGAACGGGAGAACGGACGGATGCACAGACCAGTAAATATAATATCCCCTTGCTATCATAAGTTGGTCATAAAACTAAAATGATCATCCAACTAAACAAAACTTCAATCAAATATTCCGTACATGTCCGTTTTTCATATGTATTTGAATAAGTTAAACGCCAAACATTTTAGAAACTTTTTAAGAGCAATGACGTTAAATTACGCATACGTTTGTATGGGCTCTTCCTAGAATCCATGCATCATTTCAATTGAAGACAAGATATAAAAAAATGAACTGATTCAGTAAAGTGTAATCATATTTTTTCTTGAAGATGCGTCCTCATCAATTCCATTTGATAAAATTCTTCGGAAAGGTGACAAAGTACTATCAGAAAGATACATCAGTGATCTGAATTTTTACCTTTGACAAAAGTATCTTTAAATAAATTATAGAAGTATGTTAACAAAAAAGAAGAAACAAGTCGTGTACACCTTTTACATTCAGGCGTGTTTGTAACTCTTGTTTTAATTTTATAACTTTTAAATCAAAAATGAAAATATGATCTCGCTTCAGATTCCATTATTTTTATTTTTTCAAACTAAATTTTGATTTAGTAGGTTTAAGAATTCATCGTTTGAGAGATAAATATATGGGTCAAGTGAAATGACGAAGTAATGATCGGTGCATTTGATTACCGGTAACTGAATTAATTATTTCCTTTAAAGGGAGACTGTAGAGACCTAAAATAGTAGTTTGTGCTAATTTTTAAATGACATATATTCCAACAAAGTATGTGTATTCAACGAGCCAAAAATTCATGCAGTCTATGCGACGCTCCGTCATCCTTTAATGCAATAGGTCGAGATACGGTCAGATAGGTTGGTTATGTGGAGTAATGTCATTTTATAGGAAATCTCTTGTATGACGTCCAGAATATATCAGCGACCCATGGGTTTTATGCATTCTTTTAAAATATATTGTAAAATAGCTTTGAATTCTTTTAAATGTGATATTTTATTTTGTTGTTCTGACGCTTTTTTTCCAGAAAGAGCAGCTTCATATATCAGAGTTCTGAAAAGCCCTGTGTATTTGTGTTTATTGGCAGCTTTTGTATTGCATATATCGTCTGTACTTGGTCCAGTTGCCTTCAAGTCCAAGTACATCGTAGCTCAATTCGGACTTCCTTTATGGAAAGCAAATTTAATCATATGTAAGTATAAGTTAAGTGAGTTTTCCTATTTCATTGTGTTGGTGCTGTCTTGGTAAGGTATATTTTACGCCTTGCATTATTCATTTGTCGTCATAATTTCTTTTTAGTTCTGTCAATCATTGCTACTGTAATATGACTGGTGTCAATAGTGATGAAAATACTGGTGACTCTTTCGGAGTTCATCTCCTGGATTTTGTGGGGTTTGTGTCACTATATTATATAGCTGTTGTGTAGTGTTTTGTTATTGTTAATTGTCGACCTTTTTGTCAAATTTCAATGGTGTTGTGTGTACTCATTGGCCATGACCCATTGGTATCATATTTCTCTTTTTAAGATAATGTAGAGCCAAAAGATAACAGTATGAAAAATGACTTCTTAAATTTTTTTTTTAATTTTGTTATGATGTGGAATAACACCGAAAAGGGCGGATATAGCCATTGAGGCACAACGCATTACCAGAGAAATTGACAAGCTTCAAAATAAAGATCCTATACCAAAGTATCACCTCAGTTTTTACATTATGTTTAACTTGATAGATGATTATATAAGTTGAAACAATGATGTTTACATGGACCCAACAAGGAGAGACAACTTGTGTCCAACATATAGACATTACTTGCTATTTACCTCCTGATTCGGTAAAAGCGAGTGCATTACGATCCTGATATCCGATTACGTACCGTGTTCTTTTATTCCTTGTTCACGTTAGAGGTCACCCTGTTGGAAGCTGCACTGTGCAGGATTTCATTCTGTGATTTTCCTGTACGACATATGGTCTAGATAGTCAAATGGGGTGATTTGTGTGCATTTAACATCTCACCAAAGACACCAGGCTAATCATTTAGAACGCCAGACGTATATTTCATCTACACAGGACTCACCAGTGGTGCTCGAATAAAAACAATTGAAAGCCAAATCCAATACGAAGTTGAAGAGCATTAAAAAGTGAAAAAATCCGAAAAGTTGTGTTATATAAGGCTTAGACAATCAGTCTATGGATATCAGTTATTTATTTTTATAAATGTGTAATACATCTACATATTGCTTTAAGCTTAAAACGTCTTGTATTCCACGGTAAAAACTCATATCAAAGGTACTATATTTATAATTTGATACCCCAGACGTCATTTTTGTTCAGAAGTGTCCAGTTTCTGAAAAAAACATAGTCTATATATTGTGTGCGTCCGAAGATCATAGCTCTTACATGTATACCTGCTTTATTTACAGCCGCTGTAACGGTAGCAACAGTTGCTATTGGTGCATTCTTCGGTGGATACATAACAAAGAAGTTTAAATTATCACCACGGATGTTCATTTTGGTAATTCTGATACTTCATGCAGGCCAGATTTTTTTCGGCGGTGGAGTTATCTTTGTGGGATGTGATCAACCTAAAATTATTGGTCCAAATATGTATGTAGTTTAACAATATATTATACTGACATACATCGCATTGCAAGTGATCTGTTGAATGTATGATTTAGACGCAATATTCGTCAAGAATTTTTTTTTCAGTTGGATGTTCCATGATAAGTCGTAAGACAACAGATAATGTCCTTTTGTGGAGTTGAATTTATTAACGTTCCCATGAATCACGATAAAATACAATATAGGATATGCAAGACAACTTTGTTTTTAAAAATGAGGATTAGACTTCATTTAAAAAAAGAAACCCATCAAAACTCAATTTATTAATTATTATGCATAAATAAAAAGTGTTTCCAAAGAGTATTGTACAAGACTACAGACCACACAAACAACAAACGCCCGATTTCTCCGAAAATAAGCACGTACAAACAAAATAGTCCTGAGAGCCTGACAAATTTAAAGTTTTTCCTATATTATTTTTTTAAAATATTTCTAAGGACAAGGGTTATAAGCGGGGTAATTAATAAAAAAGAAAAGACAACCTAGCATTCGTTAATTCATAGTGTCTCACATGTTACAAATACATCCATTTCTTTGTTTTCAGGCAGCATTCCATTGCGATAAATATGACTGAGGACTGTCATTGCGATCTTAAAGACTATTTCCCAGTTTGTGGTTCAGATGGTAGGAACTTCCACTCTCCTTGCTATGCTGGATGTAAAGAAGTGGTTAGAAATGGAAGGGTAAGTAACTGCTTACTCGTCAGCTCTGACTAGGCTAGAATTGTTTTTGTACATTTTATACTGTTCACTTCAACTTGCATTTAAAAGTGACCTATACATGTGAAAAAATGATCGATCCACAATTTTTCGATCTCCCATGTGAAGGTAACGTAAAATTCTGACCCCATCCAATTCTGCTATGATAACCATTGAAATTTTATAAATGACTGATCATCCTCCCACTCAACCTAATGTTCATGACCTACCTATTGTTATACTGCTACTTTGTAGAGAGTAAATGAGAAAGTCATACCCTCTCCCAATGGAGCTGATTATTCACAATGGTTACAAAAAAAGCAGAATATCAATATATTAGATATTTCTAATCTTGGTGATTGCTTTCAATCAGATGTCGCTTATTTTACACTTGCTTGCTGAAACGGGTTTTATATCGATAGAGAAGTCCGTCCTTCTTTAGTTTATTCTTTTTATTGTTTGTTTGTTTGTCTGTTTGTTTGTTCATTCGTCTTTTAGACCTATTTTCACTCTTTACTGCGCCTTAACCACGAACAGAATTAAGTGAAACTTTTACAGAATTGTATACACATGATGTAAATTTGCAACTCGTATTTCATTTCTTCAATTTAATGGTTTTGGGCTTACTTTGGCTTGACGCGGACTTTGTTTTATCAATCAACTACATTGTAAATTTGTTTCAATTTCTCCTCTTTGACATCTCATCTGAATTTTTGAAAATGTTTATGTATCTACACAATATTGATTTAATGCCATTGTTAACAATTTATTTCTCAACCAAATTGATTTTATGTGTCTCCAAATCATAGAATCTGTCACTTTTTTGGGGGAGGGGACCCATTTGTAAACGCAGGTCTACCTTTAACCTTTATTAGAATTTAATTAAACTATCTCAGAAACTAATATGTCGGTATATACCTACTTTCGCGGTTATAAAAGTATCGCGATATATGAAACTAGGATCTTTATTTATATTAGAACAATAAAAACGTTTGAAAATCGCGAAAATATTAGCCACACAATAGGCTAGATAGAGAAAAATGTGACAAAACATTTTCGCGAAAAGAACTTTGAATTCAATATCATGCAAGGCATGCTCTATTAAAACAGGATGGTAAAATAGATATTTTATCGGACCAGAAGGTGTGGTTTTGTTTTAACTATAAGTATGCTTTGAAGAAATTCTTAGCCTTTGTTTATGAGATGTGTCAATCAGCTAATTTAACAATATCACTTTGTAAAAAAAGCACTCTGACCGTATGCGCATGTTTTATTTTTATTGGTGTTCAACATGATTGAAGTGCAAACCAAAACCGATTATGAAGATGATTTGTAATGTATTGAATTCTTAAAATTCGATTTATCAAACCTTTAGTGTTTGAAAATGCAAAGATGATGGCGATTTATTGCCGTTTAACGTTCAGTGGCAAATGAAATTCATATTCAGGACGAGGATGTTTTAAATTGATATGAATATAAACGAATAATTATCTGGCGTACCAAATTTTATTCCTGGTATCTAGGATTGGTTTATTGTACTAGACCTATACGCCCAGCCGGATTTGGAACGTGCTAGTTCACAAGGTATTAGTACGCAAGAAGACATGTTACCTTACCAGGGCACAGTATTCTGCCTTTCTTACGTAATGCCATACGCTTAATAGAAAATAAGCAAATACATTTCTAGTTTGTAGTTTGATGAAACTCGCGACCTCCTGCTCTCGGGCGAACACTCTTCCACGATACCACCGAGGACGTTGAAAATGCAAAGAAAGTTAGTTATTCTATACAGATAGTGTTTATGAATAACATAAAATATGGGGTGTACGTTAATGAAGCAGCAATTATAAGACAATGTAACCATGTCTGTACAATGTGTCAAGCTCTAAATCACTATCAGTCTAACAATCTTGTGAATAAGCTAAATGGAAAACTCATTGATCTGCCTTTAAAATCTAAATTTCTAATTAACGCAAAAAAATAAAGTGTGACAAACTACAACTACTGAAACGAGTAGTTTCTAACTCGGCGCAGGTCGTTTGGGCTTTTTTATAGGACATTTTCACTGTTTTATAGGAAATTTATGTTTCGATATTTCGGGCATTCTTGCTTTAAAAAAAGGACATTTGCAATTTTGAAAAAAGAACATTTGCACTTATTACTTATTATTATTTCCCCCTCATTTACTCGCGCTTGAAGAAATTTATAAACCATTTTCCTACTTCACACCTGGGACTAATACATAAACATTTAGACATTGGTCCAACTTCACATGTACAATGTGTATTCCTTATAAAGTCCCAATGACTGAATCTTTAGCCACTATGCTTGTGTCAGATTAAAACGACTTCACTTCATCGAATATAAATAAATTCCTAATTACAATCATGAATCTTTTTTCAAAGTCAACATGAATTGTAAACTAAAACAAAAAACACTTTATGAATTGCGTATGTCCGAGGAGCTTTTCTGGATTTGATTTCATCAGGAATGCTCTTACCCAAACAATGTAAGGATGTTTGCTACTCTGTTTCAAAATAACAAGCTTTTAAAAACACTGTTATACTTTGATAGTATATAAACAAAGGAACTAAAAAAGCAGAAAAAAATAAAGGGTTCGTGTTCTTGTTTTCGATATATAAGCCATTGAAAATTTGGCGGGAATCATTCTCTCTAGACTTTTCATGTATTTAACATTGGCATCCTTTTTCGTTAAAAAAACTATGAAAAAATAACAAGGATTTTATAGCATTTTCAAATATGGCTTTTTAAACTATATGTTATAAAATTATGAAAAGAAAAATAGGGGTTAGCGGGGAAAATTTTTTAATGGCACTACATGGATAAAACCAGAGGAATCCGAATATCTGGCAAAAATTCAAAAACAAGAGGAGCGAACATCCTTAAAGCCAGGGATGTCTAAATACGTAGAAACATGGAATAGAATGAACAAAATAGGAATGTATTTTCCGTTTTTAAATCGATGAATGGTACAAATATAAGTTGTTTTTTTATTTTGTGTAATCATTACAATTCATAAAGATTTCATAGGTAAAAGCGCAAACGTCCTGTCAATTTATTACAGGTGTATCAAAGTTTCAAAGTTGAAAGAGCAAATGTCCAGTGTTTGAAGCGCCAATGTCTTTTTGTGTTACATGTAAAAACAAAAGCGCAACCGTCCTGTGTCCTTCTAACTATAGCTACGTATTTGAAAAATGTAGCACGTCTATACTAGTTTGGATATCAACAATCCCCTTTTTTAATCTCCATTCGTAGATTGACATATGCCATTAAAAATACAATAAAAACCAAAATGTAAACCATATAAGGGTTATTTTATTTTCTCTAATTCTTTGTCAATTCAACCCTTTTCGGACCAATTGTATAAAAAAATTTAATCAACGTGTGGTTTCAGATGATCTCAGAAGATGATTGGGTGACTTTAAGGGTCATAACCTTTATCAGCTCACTGGGTGAATCAAAATGTGCTAACAGGTGTTATTGAAATTGACAACTTTGTGGAATGTGGAAGGCACTCGAAGGGGATTTTCGTTTTTCAAAAATGAAAATGTATTTGATAATCATTAGAGAAACAGATTATTACATAGTTACTCATGGATTATCGGATTTATCCAATCTCGATAGTTAAATTATCAATTTTAAAGTCCTCGCCAAGGCTCGGACTTTAAAATTCGATAATTCAACTATCTCGATCCACTGGTACCAATGTTAGAATCTCTAATTATTTGGCGATTTGACACTTTCCGGACCCATTGTATAAAAAAATTAATCAACGTGTGGTTGTCGATGATCTCAGAAGATGATTGGAATAGTTCAAGGGTCATAACCTTTATCAGCTCACTGGATGGGACTTTAAATTCGACAATTTAACTATCTCGATTGGATAAATCCGATAATCCACTGGTACCAATGGAAGAATCTCTATATAATTGGTAACAAACAAAAAAACATAATGATATAAATAATCATACTGTATTTACGAATGCTAACATTTATCAAAATTAAGTTGGATGAGATTCTTTTTTATTGTTGTTAAATGGTTTGAAATAAACAAATACCCAAATACCAAATTTGTAATGTACTGGTTTAAGTGGGTGTTTTTAGCGCTGGTTCTATCCTTACTTAACAAATACACAAATCTGTATTTGTTTCGATCTAAAATGTATTATACAATCGTTAAAATTATATAGCCATCATACAAAAATTATCAAAGATAGTGATCAATTTATCATTTTCTGCACGTGTTACCAGGTGTCAATTTCTTCCGATTCATTAATGTTGAGTTTTAAACTTTGCTGTAAAGAAAATCATCGGCTAAGTGAGCAAATGCTGTGAACAAAACACAGACTATAAATTCATAAAAATATTCTGCGAGCATCAACATTTAAATTTAAACTACGTGAGAATTTCACAATTTAACACCTAACAACGTGTGGGTATTGACAATTTACAAAGCACCTTGTGCGGGAACAAAATTAAAAATTACATTTTCTTTCCGATTTTTTTACTTGCAATACATGAACAACACAATGGGTTCCGCTAGAGAAGCAGAATCTGCTTACCTCTCCGGAACATCTTAGAACACCAACGATTGATTCGATGGTTTTCGTTTTGGTATTTTGTTTCGTTTTCTGTGTAGATGGTTGTCTTCTTTCTGTCATACTTCTTTTTTGCCATGGTATTGTTTGTTTCTATTTGACTTATTATTTTTATGGTCCCTATGGTATCTTATGCTTCTTTTCTTTTTTTTTTTTTTTTTATCATGTGCGAGTTTTAAAGTTTTGCACTATACAACGTGCAAGTATAAAAATGAAACATTAAAATACATATCACAAGAAGTTAAATAAACCAAATGTGTATATAATTGAAATTATAATTAAACAACTTGTGGATGTCACATATTTTAAATACAAGTGTATTTGTCATTGTAGATGTATGCAAATTGCACAGTTATTCCCGATGGACAAGCTTCAGCCGGGCTGTGTCCGTTCGAATGCAATACACTTATTCCTTACCTTCTTCTTAATGTTCTTGGCTATGCCAGTGGATCACTGAAAATTATGCCCATGTTCCTGGCTACTATTCGGTAAGATTATTAATAATTGATGGTTATTTAATGTCCAGTGGCAAGTTCAATGCATAATCAGGACAGAAAATGTTATTGCTGTTGTTATATGAATATGAACTTTGCTTTGAACCATACCGATACGCTGATCCGGATTTTTTAACTTGCTACTTCACGTGTAACAGTTCTAACATGACACCTTTCCCGGATACATCATTCTCAATCTTTAAAGAACTTGTGAAATCTGGCGTTAGCTTTGAGGAAGCGTAAGGTTCTATGTTGTAAATGGCATTAAAAACCAAAAAGAAGTGCGTAAATTCTTGTTGATAGCATAACTACGGATTTCATTCTCGCAAAATGGGAAGTAAAAAACCAAAACATACGTCCAGCGGCAAAAATTTCATGCATGTTCAGATCGAGAACAAATTAATAATAAATAGAATCGGTAGGATATGCAAGTTAGGATTACTGAGATGTATATCGAGTAAATTTAAATTGCCAATGGATAACGAGATTATGAAGGATAAGGGTAGAAATCTTGCCTTACAGTATTCCACCTATGGATCCCTCTGAAGGCTCCTGCAATAATGCTTTAACGTGCAGATAGTGTGTCGATATACCATCAAGAGGCATATTAAACGAGTTCATTTCCAACCGGACTTAGCTGCGTTTGTATGCATTCTACACAGCAAAACGAGTGTCAAACTATAGACAAAGGTTTTACTTTAAACTGGAGAAATCCATGGATGACCAGATTTCATTACCCGAATAGAACATTTGGGTTTGATGATTATATAGATCCATTTGAAGAAACTCTAGGTTGCTCGCATTACAAAACGAAATGAAGTGTGTATTCCGATATATTTTTGCCATGCATCATTCTGACAATGTATACCTTCAATAAACACAAGGATTTAAAATTGTTACGCCCAATGTGACTTAAAGATAACTCAACACCTTTCAGGTTAGAGATGGCCTGTAACTGTGACCAAGGCTATTCACGTTAATCTATTTTATTTTTATATTTTAGGAGCGTTGAAGATCGTGACAAGTCTACAGCAGCAGGATTGAAATCGGTTGCTGCTTCTCTTCTAGGTATGCACACTTAAGACATCTTTCATTAGTGAAGGCTAAAAGGTTTATTGCCAAATAGTCATCTGTGACCAATTGACGTGGATATAAGCAGTTACCGGTCACTGTACAACCATCAACAATGAGAAACCCAACCGACATGACGAAATGCAAAGCACTCAAACGAGAAAACCGACGAACTGACTTACAAACAAACAAAAGAAAAACAATAACAGGCACCGGACTTTTGGCAGGACAATAAAGAATGACACGGACAGTCTGGCGTTAAGCAATCATGTACAAGAATTGACAGGATGTAGGACCATAAGTTATCGTACGTGTCTGGAAATACATATTGTGTTATTTTTAAATCTATTACGAACAAAATCAATCTTCGTACCGATGAAGATAATGCTAAAAATTCTTACTACAGTGTTGAATCAAACGATCAATAAGTTAACGTGGATCTATAAACAACATCACCGTTAAAATTAGGATTTCTTGCATCAGTATTGATGATTTATTTATGGTCACACAAAGAAAGGAAAGGACTGTCTCGCAATTGTTTTTTTAATTTTTTTCTATGATTATGTTAATGTTTACACTTTTATAAATTGCCTTAGAGATAAACTTTTCGATTACAGACAATATCTCTCTTTTAATCCTTTTTTTGTTGTAAACACTTTGTAAATGCGTCAGACGCGCTTTTCTGTAATTGTCTTCATCAGGAATGGCCAGAGTCAAGACGCTTAAATAGTGTGAATGCTTAATTAAAGAACTGATAATACATTTGATGATTTTATAAAACATTTAAATGGATTGCACTTATTGTATTTTAATATATATCTTTTTTTTCCAATGAGACTTACATACTATTTTTACTAAATCATTTTAGCATTTATTCCTGCACCAATTGTGTTTGGAAAGATGATAGATACGTCTTGCATCCTATGGAATTCTGATAGCAGTCGGAAGGGATCGTGCTCGTTGTACAACATAGCGGAACTCCGAATTGGTATGTTTGGAACTGTTCTGATTTACAAAGCAGCTGCACTAATTTTTATGTTACTGGCTTTATGGAAAGTTTGGTCAATTAAGGATTGGGAAGAACTCAGGAGAAAGAAGACAGATCATATAAAAATGAATGGCGATGCAGAGAAAGCTGTCAGTACCGCACATAAATAATATATGTTTTACTGATGTGAGTTACATTAATAAAATCCGTTATTACTTTGCAGCATACCATAAATGTGTCGTTATTTTATCAGTTAAGTTATAATATTTTGGAATGCAGCAGAACTTGTAAATGCACATTCACATCACCTATTCCTAGTTTTGATCGGAGATCAAAAATATTACATTTCCAGAATCTCAGTAGTGGTGTTTGCTGTTCGTATGCGCCTGCTTTTCGTTTTCGCCGGAAAACATTCATTTTGTTGATATGTTATTTTCATGTTCGTGCTCTATCCCCTATTTTTTTTTGTTTCGGATTCTTCAAATATCATATAAAAACAATTGATAGTTTAGGCTTTGTCTACTGGAACTACAACATAAATATAGTGAAGTAAGGGTAAAGCATCCAAAACTTTTAGTTATTTTAAGAGTAAGAAACCATTGAACTCCATGATAGTTTTTTTTATTCGCTTCTGCATATATGACAGAACATCCTTGATTCATTCCGATGAAGTGTCAAAGTATTAGGTAAATCAGGCTCGCGCTTACTCAAATTATATGGCATAGTCTTCGTATGCATCCATTAATTGTTTATGATGCGAATATCTCATGAAAACATGACCAGCAGGACTGTATTTGTACATGGGAGACGAACAAGAGCAATCTGGAGGTATGCATTTTACCTTATTGAGGTTAAAGCTCGCTAAGATCTTCTGGTGTTTGGAAATCTTGGATGCCGTGGATTTGGGTAATAAGAAAGGACATTTATAATTTTATCATTGACGTATACAGGTATTGTTTACCGTACATACTTTTGATAGGGAAATCCTTACATAACTTACAAACATACACTTTATGCACTATGAAAGGTTTACATTATTAAGCTAAAAAATTCATTTCTTCAACAATATTGCAACCTTTTTCTTTTCTTCATTAGACTTACACTCCCAAAAACATGTTTAACCCACAAATTGATTACGTGCCTGTACTTGTTGTTAGTTATTGTCTGTCATACTTGCTTTTTTTATGTTTTCGCTTTAATACTTTAATAGACATTGGTAATGTTTGTTTTCCTCAGTATTTAGTAGACAGTTGTTTGTTGTTTTTTTTTGGTTTTTTGTTTTTGTTTTTGTCTTTTGCCATGATTTTGTGGGGTCTATTTTTGACTTGTAAGTTTTTATTTTCCATTTGGTATGTTTCGCCTCTTTGTATCAGCGAATTCTACCTTTTCCCAATCTTTGGATAAAAGTAGATGTCACTTTTTTTAATAGTATGTATTTAGCTGGGTCAATTTTTATTGCAAACAGACTGTACTGAACAGTATTTGTATCTATTTGGCCCCTTGACATGATGATTGAGTTGGGAAATGTATGCAAAACAGTTTAGACCAAAATTAATCTAGTTAAAATGACATTTAAAGATAGAAAAACAAACCAACCACAGACGCGTTATGAACCGCAGGGTTTAAATATTTTTTGATAACCTTGACTCCTATTGCGTCTTTCAGAAGTGTTAGATAATTCTCATTTGTTGATATCACTACATCTGACACTTGAAAAATATCTTCATCACCCATTTTTCGTTGCATCCGTCGCTCGAATCTAGCTTAGAAATCAATATGGTTTACTTAATATGGAGTCAGTTGTTGGATGATGAATTTTCTCTATAATCTTGGCTTTAAAAAAGAGATGTCCTATATCCAATACACCGGCGGTGGTTTAATATGAACGATATTCATATGATAAAAGAAAATACGAGAAAAATACAATCATTATCAACCATTTCAAACATTTCTATCAGTGTTATTAGAACCTAATTAAGGCGGAACAAACTGTAAAATAATAAATTTTTCGTTCTGCATAGAGATTGATATCAACTTTTGTCACGAGTTAATGGAGACTTATCACGATTTAAAAAAAAAAACAAAAATTACTTCGTTATAAGCATGAAAAATTAATAATACCATTCAAACAAAATTGGCATTAAAAAACAAATTAAACTGAACATTATAATGACATTCCGGGAGGTTTTGCAATTGAAGCAACCACAAAAGCAAATCAGAAGGACGACTGTCACCATTCCCGCATTTGGCTTTGCATGACTAAATTGAACTGGGTTATTGTATGGAAACACTTCGACGATCGATAGAATTGAGATGAGGGAAACGGTAGTGTGGATACTTCAGAAACTATGTAAAATGTCTATTATTGTACTACCAAAAGTGCTAGTCTTAATTCAACTGTCTTGAAGTACCTTATCATGAATGCAAGTTGTTTGTTGACAAAACATTGTCAATTTCTAGTCCGATATTTGATAATTTTTTATACATTGAAGTTATCCTTTTTCAGTTGTCTGTCAGACTTATATTGTCTACCATCAAATAAGTAGACACACATACACACGTACGCGATTTATCCTTGTTCAAGTTGCCACAGCTTCGGCTACAGTTTTATCAACGTATTGGTAATAAAGAAGAGAAATATATTCCAATGACAGCTTTTTATATTGCTATCGTGGTATATTCCCCTCGGTTTGCAAAGATATCAGTGTACATGTAAAAACAATAGAGAAAACAAGTCCAAATATTCCAGCGTACATATAGTACAATCATTGAGATTTTCTAACGGTTCATATGCGTACCACGAAATAAAAATTGGCCATGAAACATCATAAGTATTATTACCACTGGGGCAATACTTCTGCTGGTGAACTGTTAGTCTCCCCGCCAGTAGCCAGCAGTACAGAAGTACTGGCATGAAAATACGGATATTGTGTGATAACAATTTGCTGTTTCAACATCTGGTGCAGAAAAATTAGTACCGTTAATGTTATCATTCATCAGCGGAAAACTGCAAAGTGGACATAGCACACATTAAACATATAGAAAACTAAAACAAACAAATAAGTACTAAAACAAACAAAACAATCGAGAACTATAAGTTTTCTTTGTACAAAAAGGTTTTGTCTAAGCAGCGTAATGATTACATTATAAAAGAATAATTTGTAGTCTTTTGTATAAATTGTTCTCTTTTTCAAAAGTTAAAATGTGAAATGTAAACAGCATTACATGTACACAACGTACTGTACATTTATAGACATGTAATGTATTCTAGAGGTTGTCGTTGGTTGTTGTCTGTCATAATCTTTCGTAATAAAAGTATTCGGCATCGATTTCGTTTTGTTTGTTTGCATTGTTTCATATTTTGTCCTCCTGTGCCTGACTATACGATAACAAGGAATGAAGAGTTTATGGGTAAACATAACACGGACGCATTCAAAAGACATAAAACAACCATTAGACAGTATATATGTTGATATACAGACTCCAATAATACAATATGTCAAGCTTTAGGCTCAATCACTAAAGACTAAAAAAACACGAATAAATTTAAATGAAACTACAAAAGATCTGTTATCAATATTCAAATCCTTCAAAACATATCATTGTTTAATAATACTAACAGGTTATTTCCCTTAAAAAAATGAAAACAACACGTTACAAAATATGCGTCCGAAGCGTTTTTCTTGATTTACCTTCATCAGAAACGCTCAAAGCCAAATATTTGAACGCCAAGAAACAGTTGAAGAGCTATATGACCCCCCCCCCCCCCCTCCAAACAAAACAAAATAGCCAAATTCATCTAAGGTCAATTTTGCCTGGGGAGTTGAAACTTAGTTTCTTTATAATTTCAAAATTTACAAACGAACACTTTCAGAAAGATTGGTTATAAATCATGTCAGTACCGGAGTAGTGACTACTGATTATGAGTCATGATCATGACTATTGGTACCCTCGGAGACTGATAGTTCACCAGATATCTATTCAGTGCTGTAAAAAATGAAAACAACACGAACGATATAATTTCATGCATCATAAGCGCTTTTCTGGATTTTCCTTCATCAGGAAACGCTCATTCAAAGCCGTATATTTAAAAGCCAAGAATGTATAAGAACAGAAACAGTTGAAGAGTTTCATAATTGTGATTGTGAATTCCTCATCCACAATAGGAGTGATTTCAACAATGTCTTTTTTTTTAAACTCAGAGAGGAAATTACAGATGTGGAGTTGATTACAGATGTTTGAAATCTTTGACGTTGTCAACACCATCTACACGGTAGGTATAGTGTCCTGCTGGAATTGTGTTTTTTCGAGTGATTTAATCGGGTTTTTTTCGAGTGAAAATGATCACAAATGTAAACAAACAGATTTCCTTTCTGGTAAGACGTAAATAAAAAGATGCTAGAACCTTATTTTAAAATCATAGAAAATTAATTCTTATTTGTGATAAAAATATAATAGCAACCCTGCATTATTTTGTTTTAAAAGCGTTTAAATTTATCCTTAAAATGCTGTATTCCAAAATATAGATTAAAGAAATTTTTATACACATAACAATGCAAATGTCAACGAAAATGCTTACTTGGAATCTATATATACTTAGATATACAGACCCTGTACAAAAATTCTTGTTTTTGCATTGAAAAGGACATTTTGGAGAGTAAATTAATTTCTATGTGTCCGTGTTTTTTCGAGAGCAGTCCGTGTTTTTCGAGTGCGTCCTTGTGTTATCGATGCAATGGATGAAAGTAAATCAAGAAAAGCGCTTCGAACGCATGAAATTTATAATGTGTTGTCTCGTGTTATTGTAATATTTATATGTATATAATTGGTGGTGGGGGTCCCTAAGTAGAATATTTGGGTTTGTATTGAGTTTTGTTAATTTTTACTGCTTTTCCTTAGTTTTCTTGCTCTTATGATTTTCGTCAATGTAAAATATATATATATCAATCATAAAACATTATTGACGGTAAAAACAAAAATAGCATGAAATGAAATTAGAAAGATTATGAGTCCCTCTACTCGGTTCTTAAGACCACTTTAAAAAGAACCAATTGATTTCTTATATATCGTAATACTGTAAGTTTATAGTTATATGTTTTTATAACAGAAATTTATCTTTTAATTGAAACGGGTTAAATCTGATCAACATAGTAAAATGTTTTTGTGACTTATTAAGAATAAATAATATTGTCCCTCGCTTAATTACAGTTACAAA